TTGCCGAAGTAGCAGGCTTACCATTTGTAAACTAGAGTTGAGTTCTGTTATCATATTGAACTTGAGGTATTTTTGTTTTGGAACGCTATAGATGGGAAACACTGGAGGATATGATTATAGAGCAATAGTCAAGTGTATCATTTTAATGACAATTTGATAATTAATTTTCTATGTTTTTTTGTATATGATGGTTGCATTTTTATGTCTGATATGAATCAGAGATACATACTATTGGTAATTTTGCCGGGAAATACCATGGAGCATGGAAACAAATTGGTCTTCTAATAGTTAACCTGAGAGGCTGTTGGTCACACACTAGCGGATTATAAGAGGCCTTCTTTATTAAATGACATTCACAGAACAGTTTTGAGTTTGGTTTTTACCAAGATTTAAACTAGTTCATTTTATACCATTGTATTTGCAATGTTCAGGCTTTAAAAACCTGAGGTCCCTGGAAATATGCGGTGGAGGATTGACGGATGCTGGAATAAAAAATATTAAAAATCTTTCATCCTTGACCCTACTGAATCTGTCTCAAAACTGCAACCTGACTGATAAAGCTTTGGAGTTGATTTCTGGTATGCCTATAAACTTTGGTTTATAAGAATGATGGATATGCTAGCTTTATCTGTTATATTGGCTATTGAATGGAACTTGGCAGTGTTTGAGATTGGACCATTTTAGTGGGCCAAACATGGGAATTTCAAGTGCAAAAGATATAAATGCATACTCACTGTTGCCAATGATGGCAGTATCAGTTCAGAGGACAATATGTGGTCAAAATTTTATTTCCACTTGGTGACTGTATTCTTGATATATATGGTCTTGTAAGAAGTGTGACCCTTCGATCTTTTCATGGATACTGGGATTGGCTTTTTGTTTTGCAATTATGGCCATAACAATTGCATGCATGCATTCTTTTTCATCCCTGAAATGCCTTGATGGCCAGGAGAAAGGGGGAGAGGAGTGGGGGGTGGGAATGCCTTCCAAGTATAGGAAGACATACCTGTTCCTTAGTTAAAAAAAGTAAAGCATGTAATTATTGTTACTCTATTGAAGTTATAAAGTTGGCAGTATCACAGTATAAAAGAAATTCTGATAGTGCACTTGTATTCATAAGAGGGAGTTAGACTTCTTTCTCTAGCAGTGATCTTGACCCGCCTTTAAAACCTTGGTTGGATCTTCAATTCTGTGGGAGGGATCATATTTTAATCAAATTAGCCAATGCCATTATTATCTTTTAATTTTTCACATTCTATGGAAATGCAGGGCTGACGGGATTGATCTCTTTAAACGTTTCAAATTCTCGGATCACCAATTCTGGACTTCGGCATTTGAAAACACTGAAGAATTTAAAATCTCTGACATTGGAGTCCTGCAAGGTGACAGCAAACGAGATTAGGAAGCTTCAGTTGACTGACCTTCCCAACCTGGTAAGCTTCCGGCCTGAATAGTTCTGGAGGTAATTTAACTTTCCTTTCAGATTCTGGCAGCATGGACATACAACTATGTATATAAATACATTATGGAAGGGATCTGGTAAATTTTGTATATGGTTGGACGTGTATGTGGGTTTCAAAATGTCTAGATCTACAGGTGTAGAAATTCTCTATGTGCTTCATGTGAAGTTTTCTACCAAAATCGAATTGTCATGGAAGAAAATGTGGATAAGCTTCCTGGGCATGGCACTTCCGCCGCTTTTTAAATCCTTAGGCTGTCTATGAAAATAACCGTTGTATATACCTGCTTGAAAGTTTTGTTGCTTTCAGTTGCTTCCTTGTACAGTATCTAAAAACAATGGATTCTTCAACTTAATTTATTAATCAGTGATTTGTGATGCGTTTTATATGCACATCCAAATGTCATGCGTTAGTGAAGTAGTTAGGTGTTAGGTGCATTTCATATGTACCGAAAATTTCTTGCTGGAATGCTTTATAACACAACGAAACATTACAGTACCGTGAAGTTTTTCCTGCTCCGGTTTTTTATGAAGCCATTCGATAATGGAGAGAATGTTACAATTCCGTACTTCATCTGGGAATCAATGTTGGACAAAACAAAATTTCCCTGTTATCCGTAAAAATCAATGTTGAAGACATAATGTTCTATTGAGCAATGACATCAAACAACATTAAAAATGAGAAAGCAAATGGTTGGGTTCATTTTCCTTTGTCTCTGACTACCCGATTCTAAGAAGTATTTTCCTTTGGTTTATTTGTTTTTTCCCTTGGGCCTTTTAAAATAGAATAATGCTTACTCTTATTACATTTGTATACCACGTTTTCATACCACTTTATGTGCCAGATAAAGTGAACAATCACATCAATTAAAATTAATTTAATATTTCATTTTCTTTTATGATTTATTGGCACTTTTTAATTTAGGTGGTTGCTCACTTCATCTGCCATATGAAGTGGTATGAGAATGTGGTATGCAAATGTGGTAAGAGTAGTATTACTCATAGACAGCTTGGCTCATAGACCTCTAAAATTCCTTCGTATGTCAACATCTGGATACAAGAAGAAAAAAAATGAAAACAAAAGCTAGGTCCATGGTTTTCTTTTTCACTGAGCAATAATAGCAATCAATGTTTGAGAAAGACAACTTGTCAAAGCATGCATTGTCCTCTAAAAGTTAGTTCCTTCCTTGATCATGACTAATTAAGATTAATGCTTGAATTCTCCATAGGTTCAAATCTTGATTCAAGAGAAGAAAAAAAAAATATTAGTGATACCTAATTTTCTTAAGAAGCAAAAATATTATTTGGCTTCATCATTAAAAATATCTAGCCCTATATTTCAAGTAAAAGCATCCCTTTGCAGTTGTCTTCCTACCAGGTGATCCCATGATCTTTCTTGTCATTTTTTGAATACAAATTTATAAATAAACCAAATCCTAGACATGTATTTATAAAAAAACTCAAGCACTATTTAAACATAGAAACACACCCAAAGTCAACTTTTTGAGTGTGTTTATAAATGGGTTTTGAATGTGTGTAATGATGAGTTTTGGGTGTGTTTATAAAGTGTTTTAGGTGTTGGATTTTTTTTATAATTTCAACCTCCATTTTGGGTGTTTTAGTGAAACTCCCTTTTTTGAACCTTTGTTTTGCACTTTTATTCGTTTCTTGTCCAGTTACAAAATTCTATTTGCTAAGCAGCAAGTAGAGTTGATCTCAAATTTAAGTATGGCAATTAGCTGATAATTAATCATGTGGAGTACTTGTCAAGGATTACATCATGCATGCACTGGCCTGGACAATTTAGTCTCACTACATAAACCAAGGTAGAGGAAAGGAAATAGCACAACAATTCTTTTTCAAAAAAATACCATTCTTGGATTTCCATCACCAGCACAATATAGCAATGGCTGAAGCACTCATTTCCATACTTCTAGATCGATTCACTTCGATTATCCATAAACGGATAGAACACCAGGCGAAAGTTGTGGTGGGTGTAGACAGACAAGTTGAAATAATCAGAAGCAATCTCTAAGCTATTCATGCTCTCCTGGAGGATGTAGAGCAGAGGCAAGTGAAGGAGGCCAGTGTTAGAGACTGGTTGGATAAGCTAAAAGATTTATCGTACGAGATGGACCACGTTTTGGATGAGTGGACCACGTTCTGGATGAATGGAACACTGGAATTCTGAAACAAGAAGTTATAAGAAACAAGAAATTACCATGGTACGTTTCTTCCACCCCTCTCATTAACTTTCGTTTTAGGCGAGTGAATCAGGTAACTGTTCGTCGTGACATTGCTCATAAGATAAAAGCTCTGAACGAAAAATTAACTGAAACTGCTAATGAAAGAAAAAGTATAATTTTCAAGAGACAAAAAGAAGCATTGAACAACTTGAAGTACGCCCGAAAACTTCGTCTTTAGTCGATATATCTAAGATATTTGATCGGGAAATTGAAAAGGATAATTTAGTGAAGAAGCTGAGTGAGAGCAGCAAAGAGGAGAGGGGTCCTCTTGTCATCTCCATTTTAGGGATGGGAGGAATGGGCAAGACAACTCTTGCCCAACTAGCCTATAATGATGAAAGGGTGAGGAACCAATTCCAGAATAGAGTATGGGTTTGTGTCTCAAACCCTTTTGAGATCAAGATTGCTAAAGCCATCATTGAAGGTCTGAAAAAATCTGATACCCGGATGAATTCAAATGTGTTGCAAACTCTATAGCAATGTATATCTGAATTCATTCAGGGTAAGAATTCCTCAATATTGTCCCAGATGATGTGTGGACTGAAGACGATAGAAAGTGGGAGCAATTAAGGTTATCTTTGTACAATGGTGTTTGTAGGCAGTAGGATATTGGTGACTACACGAAAAGAGGGGGTGTTGAGCGAACAAAGTTGTTTGTCACTCTTCAATCACTTGGATTTTGGGGACAGAAAAAGAGATGATGCACTTGAGAAAATTGGAGAAAAGATTGTAAAGAAGTGTAAAGGTTTGCCTCTTGCGGCAAAGACTTGAGGGAGCCTAATGCGCTTTAAGAAAACAAGGAGAGAATGGTTGAATGTTTTGAAGAGTAAGATTTGGGAACTAGAAGAGGTCGAACAAAAACTCTTCCAACCATTATTACTAAGTTATTATGATTGATATGTAGATGTCACAAGATAATTTCCAAAAAATTATTGTTATATTAAGGAGGATAGCAATGGTAATAAGGGGCCCAGAGGCAACATCAACCCCTTATAATGGATCGCCTGTTTCAATTTGCAAATACAAAAAGCTACGCACTCTCCTAGCTTGTGATTTGAACGTTGAAACAATAAGCTGGGATTTAATTTTACAATTAAAATGTCTTAGGACATTAAATTTGAAGGGAAACTCGATTGAAGAACTTCCTGAAGCGATAGGTGAACTCATTCATTTGCGTTATCTCAATCTATCGAAAAATAGTTGTTTGAAAGAATTGCCTGATGCTCTTGGTAATTTATACAATCTGCAGACTCTGTCTCATTTATTGCAAGTCTTTTGTAAAATTACCAGCCACCATGCGAAAGCTGATTAACTTAAAGCATCTTTATACTTACCTCTCTGGTAGTGTAAAATTACCAGAAGAGATTGAGAGATTAACAAGTCTGGAAAGACTAGATTATGTTTCTGTCAGAAGAGGCCATGGCTATGGTGACACTGACAACAATGAAACAACATTTAAGTTGGGAAGTTTGAGAGAAATGAACCAGCTTCGAGGGAGTCTTTGTATAAATGGGTTGAGTGATATAAACACTGTGAGTGAGGCTAAAGAGGCACAATTGGTGAAGGAACTCCTGGTCGAGTTGAATCTGTCTTTCTCAGTAGATAAAAATTATGAGAAAATATGGAGGGATGGACAAATCCTGAATGCCTTACAACCACATCCAAATTTGGAAGAGTTAACCATCCTGCATTACCATGGCACCAACTGGCATGTCGAATGGATGCTGTCGTTACATAATTTGAGGTGGCTAGCTCTTGAAACCAATTTCTTTTGTGAGTTTTTGCCTCCTTTGAGGAATTTTCCGTCCCTTGAGATTTTAGAAATAAGTTGGATGCTTGGTGTGAAAAAGGTGGGAGTTGAGTTTTTAGATGTGCAGGAGCAAACATCATCATCATCTTCATTCCCGAAATTGAAACAACTTTGTTTTAAAGATGTCCAGTGGGAAGAACGGGAAGGAGGAGCAGAGCATTCTGAAATTACAATAATGCAATCTCTTTCCTCCTTAACATTGTGGAACAACCTTAGCTGAAAACACTGCCGGACTTACTGTGGAAGACACCACTCAAGTCGCTGGAAATCAGTGATTTTCCGATTCTCAAACAAGATTTTGAAATAGGAAGCGGCAAGCTGTGGGACAAGACGTCTCACATCCCAAACATTAAAATTAACCAAGACGGAGTTCCGATCCAGCCAAACTGGAAACGGAGTCAGAACTGATGACGACGATGAGCGCTGCCATTCTCTCATCCACCTCTTCTTGCTGCATTGGTAATTAAGTTAACTCGTCATGTTTACTTTGTTTTTGTTCGTTATTTGTTACTTTGTTTTATTTTATTAAAATTCAAAACTTACTATTATTATTGTTATATATTTAATAGTAATAGTTATTTATTTTAAAAGTCATATTTGTTGACTCAATAGACGTGACTCTATAAAAGGGTGTCTGGAGTTTTATAAATAAAGAACTCCTCATTCATAACAGAGTACGAACAATTCTCTGTTACTCTCATCCTCCATATCTGAATCACACTCATCATTCTCCATCTCCTACAATTCTCTTTATCTATTTCCTGGGCAATCGATCAACACTTGGCATCCCCGTTATCGTGCCTCTCTTGGGTTCACATGCCAGACTTTTTTTTCCCTTTAATCTACCTATTATTAATTGTGATTTCTTTTAATTGGATATATTTAATCTGTTTATATTTACACAAATCTGCATTTATATTTAACAGTTTTTCCCCCCAGTTCCTTCTTTGTCTATGACCGTCAGCTTTCTCTGTTTCTTTCTTGTTCAGTAGTATTCTCAGATAATCTCTAGGAAGACGATATCTTCTTGAACAAGCAATGTCATGTGGCTGCACATAATCTTGTATGTATGAAAAGGTAACTTTTCTTTTTTCTAATGATCCCATCCACAAGAACTTGTAATTTTTCTCTACGCTATTCATATTAACTGAACATGTGACTATTCATTAAATTCCTTCATGTATGTCAAAAACTTGAGTTGTAGAAGTAATATTGCTATTATTTACCGTCACTGATCTTGGAAATTGAATGAGTACCGCTGCTTCCTTAATTATATAGCCTGATCAAGATGGACTTGGAAGGATGCCTTGCGATTCTTTGAAGGACCTGTGGATCACCAAGGTACTGAACAAGTTTTGTTAATTTCCATCCGCTCTGGTAATTTACATCCTCACTTCAATTATCTTCAGTGAAAAGTAAATTGTATGCCTGCGGCTTACAGTTCTTGTATCGCTCCTCTACTTCAATGATGTTGTTACAAAATTTGAGGAGGCTAGTTCTTCATGACAGTGATTTTTGTGACTTTTTGCCTGCTTTGGGGAACTTGCGGTGCCTTGATATTTTGGAAATAAGGTGGATGGGATGTGTGAAAAAGGTGTGGGAGTTGAATTTTTAGTACCGCAGCAGACATCATCATTTTCATTCTGAAACTGGAACAACTTTTGTTTCAAGATATAAGGGTGTGAGAAGAATGAGAAGGAAGAGAAGATCAGAACTGATGATGGCAACGGGCTCTGCTATTCTCATCCACCTCTTCTTGCTAAATTGGTAATTAACCCAAGATATTTACTTTGTTTTGTTTTGTATTTCCTCTCAAGTTCCTTTTTTATCTATGGTCATCAGATTCCTTTGTTTCTTTCTTGTTTCGTATTCTCCGGTAATCACTAGGAAGATCGTCTTAGAGAAGCAATGTCAAGTGGTTACATCCAGCTTTTGCAGTCGTACGCCCAACACCACATAATCTTCTGTGAGAAGCTAATTTCCTTTCTTTTTCTTTTTTTCCTAGGCTGTTCATATCAACTCAACATGACTATTTATTAAATTCCTTCAGATCTGTCAAACTTGAGTTGTAGAAGAAATAGTGCAATTACTGCTCTTGGCAATGACTGCTACCTTACTTGTATAACCTGATCAAGATGGACTTGGAAAGCTACCCTGCGATTCGTGAGAGACTTGTTCATCACCAAGCGTATATGTACTCATTGGAAAAGTTATGTTTCTGTCATGCCTTCTAAACCTGGCTTAAAATTGTAACCCAAAACAGTATATTGTCCTTTAATCTCTCGCATCCTTCCATGTGAATGCAGGGGTGACAGGATTGAAACCTTCAAAATCTCATTTCACCGGAAGCATTAATGGCGGCAGGATTGAAACATTCAAAATCTCTCGCACCCTTCCTTTAATTGTTTCCATTTGAGAACTTTGAAGATCAATTTAAGTGACCTGAGCAGTTCCCGGAAGTATTAATTAGTAGTCTGTAAGCT